CCCCAAAACCCCAAAACCCCAAAACCCCAGATTCCCGATTCCTGGTTGAAAAATTATTTCAATAGTTTCTCAGCAATCACTTGAAAATTTTGGTACTGGATGTTCTTCAGAACCCCCTTTGGAGACGCTAAAGATGAGAGAAGGCTTACACGGCGTCTTTGAGGTCGACCTGATGAGGTTATGCACCTATTAGGGTGATGGCTGATAGATACCTGAGTGTTTGACAGCAAGTAATCTGGAGACGTAATTTTTCTCCTTAAAGGAGTTGGAGAAATCACTTTCCTGCCTCTCACAGTACTTCTCAAAGGCAATTTCTTTCTGGATAGATTATTCTGACTCATAGCATTGCCTAATGGTCTTCTCTGTTCTGAACTTTTTCTGAGCTTATTTAATCTAAATCCTTAAACCACGTCATTACCATTGTCTTGAGATATCCTATGGCATGAAAATCTTTGTGCTTGGAGTGCTTTTTGCTAGTCGTGATACTACAAGTCGAAAGATTTCTCTGTGTATAATTCTTGATTGATAAAGGAAGCTTCATATTTAGCTGTTTCGTTCCTGAATTTAAATCATTTATAATCTTATTTGTCTTCTTATCATCATCTTCAAGATAATCTTTGAGTTTCTAATAATAAGATTGAAAGAAATTACCTCTTGGACTCCAGAAAGATGTTCTCTAAAAGATTTTAGTTTTAACAGGTTCTCTGGAACTTGTTTCATACTCTTTATTTGAAGCATAAACTTTATAGGATCCTGCTCCATTTCTTGAATAGAGAAATATGAAATTCCCTTGGTTTTATAAAATTTCTCTTGCTTTTCCTTAGCTCTAGGAGAGCCTATACAGTTAAATTTTCCTAAGTACCAGGATTGGAAGAAAAAGTAGGTTTAACTGCTTCCTTCTGCTTTGTTTCAACTTTGATATTCCTAGCTTTCTTCTTCAAATAAGCCTGTTGATTCATGTACCAGTACTCGATATCTCCTTTTCTCATTTTGTTTCGCCTATTCTTTAACTATACCTAAATACCTTCTTTGCCTCCTATCAAGCTCTATTGGAGTGATAATTTGATTAGTATATTCAGAATCAGGGAACGGAAATTTTTCTAAAATATTATCAAAAATGTACCCAGTCTTTCATCAAAATCTCCTTGCATATCTTCACAAAAGTTCTTCATTGATATAAAATCTGCTTTTGGAGATTTCCTAAAGAAATCAGCGAAGTTATTACTCTATTTCTTCAGCTATGCCACCTATGCCATTCTCCTAGGATAAAGAGGTCATGAAAATTTTAAGATAAATTCGAGGTTGGATGGTATCACTAGCCTATGACAACTTACAATTCTCTGAGTTAATCCAATGCCTGGTCCTTTTCTAAAGAATAAAATAATAATATACTCATAATCATCCCTGTGCCCTCTATTGCTATCAGAAATTGAATCATTAGACTCCTTTGTCTCCTCTTTGATCCTGAAGGAATTCTTCCCAGGATGTGGGGAGTTCCCAGCTTTATTATTTCTAGTGGCTAGGTAGTCGAGCAATCCCTTCCAGCTGATCCCTTTAGACTCTATTTCCAAATTTATTACAGATTATAACTAAATTTTAACCTCCAAATTCCACAAATCGATCCTATAAATATCATTCTTGGGTCACAAAATACATCAAAAATGCTAAATCTCAACAAATCAACAGTTTTCTAACCCCCAAAATTTCATATGAGTAAATGGAGCCTACCAAATGTCATTCCTCTGATCTGGACTCCCTTCTGGTTCACACTCTGTAGATATTTGTCAACATCCTTAAAGAAGTTGTTGCCCTTCCTGTTATTATCGGAAGGGTTTATTGTTAAAGGTTCGTTCTGAGTTAAAGGCTTATGATTCATTGGTAGAAATTATATTAATTTTAAGAATTATGTAAAAATAGGGGTTTTGGGGTTTTGGGGTTTTGGGGTTTTGGGGTTTTGGGG